CATAGAGTTGCTTTCCAAAGATCCTCCCCACCCACAAGGAGAAATAATATTCTAGACCTCGTACACACCGACATGTGCTTGATGTTCGAGAAATCCATTGGTGGGGCATTGCATTTTGTCACCTTCATCGATGACCATTCAAGGAAGGTGTGGTTACACCTGTTAAAATCAAAGGATCAAGTACTTGATGCATTCAAGGAGTTTCATGCCCGAGTGGAACGTGAGACAGGACGGAAGATCAAGTGTGTACGATCAGACAATGGAGGTGAGTATAGAGGTCCTTTCAAAGCTTATTGTAAGAAATATGGGATTAGGCTAAAGAAGACTCCACCCAAGACGCCACAGTTGAATGGACTAGCTGAGAGAATGAACCAAACTATTGAAGAAAGACTTCGATGTGTACTCTCTCATGCCAAGTTGCCCAAATCATTCTGGGGAGAAGCTGTGATGACCGTTGTTGACATAGTCAACCTCACACCATCAAAGTTGCCCAAATCATTCTGGGGAGAAGCTGTGATGACCGTTGTTGACATAGTCAACCTCACACCATCAATTCCTATGGACAGAGATATCCCATAGGAGGTTTGGTTAGGAAAAAGGGCTTCTTACAACCATCTCAAGGTATTCGGATGTAGGGAATTTGTTCACATCCCTAAAGACGAGCAAGCCAAGCTTGATGCAAAAACTAGGAATGCATCTATCTTTGTTCTCCTAAGGATGAGTTCGGGTACCGACTTTGGGATCCAATCAACAAGAAGGTCATCTGAAGCCGAGACGTTGTATTCTTCAAAGACCAAACAATTGAAGACATCCACAAATCAGAGAGGCCAAGATTGAGAAGCAACAAGAGCACAGACCTTACACCGGTCCGATGTGAGGATAAAGCCATACCTGAAAACAATAATGCTGAAGATCATGATCCTATCCTAGAGCAAAACAACCAGGAGACTCATGATGAACCAGTTCAGGAAGAACCTTAGTCTAGCTCTCCACTAGCGCCCTAGTTGAGACGATCTTCAAGGGACCGAAGGCCATCTTCCCAATATAGCACAAAGGAGTTTACGGTGCTCATCGATGAGGGGAAGCCTCAAAGTTATAAGGAGGTCATAACTGACAGTCATAAAGTAGAGTGGATAAGAGCCACATAAGAGGAGATGCAATCCTTGTACGAGAATAATACTTATGAACTAGTAGAGCTACCAAAAGGGAGATGAGCCTTGAGGAATAAGTGGATGTATCGAATCAAGAACGAAGACAGTAGCTCAAAGCCCCGCTACAAAGCTCGGTTGGTCATAAAAGGATCAATCAAGAGAAAGGTATTGGTCTTGAAGAAATATTCTCTTTAGTAGTAAAGATATCATCCATCCGAGTTGTTCTTGGCCTAGCAGCAGTGCAAAACTTGGAGATCGAACAGCTCGATGTCAAGATAGCATTCCTTCTTGGTGATTTAGAGGAAGAGATCTACATGGAGCAACCTGAGGGGTTCAAAGTTCCAGGCAAAGAAAATTTGGTGTGCCGCCTAACGAAGAGTCTATATGGTCTTAAGCTAGCACCTAGGCAATGGTACAAGAAGTTTGACTCTTTCATGGCAGAACATGATTTCAAAAGGACGGAGAGCGATCATTGTGTCTTCATAAAGAGGTATGCAGGTGGCGACTTTCTCATACTTCTACTCTATGTTGATCATTGTGTCTTCATAAAGAGGTATGCAGGTGGCGACTTTCTCATACTTCTACTCTATGTTGATGATATGTTGATTGTTGGACAAGGTATGCAGGTGGCGACTTTCTCATACTTCTACTCTATGTTGATGATATGTTGATTGTTGGACAAGATCGTATAAAGATAGCTGCTTTGAAGAAAGATCTAAGTAAGACCTTTGCCATGAAAGATTTGGGACTAGCTAGACAAATCCTTCGGATGGGGATCACTCGTGATAGATCAAAGAAGTTGCTATGGCTATCCTAAGAGAGGTACATTGAAAAGGTGCTAGAAAGATTCAACATGCACAAAGCAAAGCCGGTCAACACACCACTTGTTGGACACTTCATGATGAGCTCGAAGCAAAGTCCCACAAGTGAGAAAAAATAGAGGAAATGAAGATGATTCCATATTTATCTACAGTTGGCAGTCTCATGTATGCAATGATATACACAAGACCCGATATCGCATATGCAGTTGGTGTTGTTAGTCGCTGCTTGGCTAATCTGGGGAAGGAACACTGGGCTGCAGTTAAATGGATCCTCCGGTATCTACGCGGTACTTCCAAGAAGTGTTTATGCTTTTGAAATGGAAAACATGTGCTAGAGGGATACACAGATACAAATTTGGCGGTGACATTGATTGTAGGAAATCAACGTCAGATACCTCACTACTTTTGTAGAGGGAGCTGTTTCCTGGCAATCAAAGTTATAAAAGTGCATTTCATTGTTCACTACTGAGGCAGAGTACATCGCAGCTACTGAAGCTTTCAAGGAGATGTTGTGGATGAAAAATTTGTTGCTTGAGTTGGGAGTAGATCAAGACAGGTATGTCTTGAAGTGTGACAACCAAAGTGTAATTTACTTAGTAAAGAATTCAACTTTTTATTCCCGCACAAAGCACATTGATACACGTATCACTAGATCCGAGGAGCTCTCGAGGAAAAGCGCATACATCTTGACGAGGTTCACACAAATAAAAACTGGTCAGACTTGATGACCAAGGTAATACAATCCAATAAGTTTGAAGATTGTTGTCAAGGTGCTGGTTTGCTACTACCTACCAATTTAGTCGGGAGGGGGAGATTTGTTGGGATCCCTCCTTAATTGGGAAGATTCTAGAAAATTCTAGAACTTTCTGGAGAACTCTAGAGAAGTGTAGAATTCTCTAGAAACGTGTGTAATCCTCTAGAATATTCTAAAGATGTGTGGAGCCTTCTGGAACATTCTGAAAGAGAATGTAATAGAATGGAGGAGTGTAGAGATTCCTTAGAATTCTCTAGAAAGTAAAGATATGTGTGGAGAATTCTAGAGTGCTAATCTCCACCCTTGAATCAAATTAATCCACACCACTCATTATGAAGGTGGAGTAGTATAAATAGGGGTGGAAGCCTTCATTCCTATCCATCCAAGACAAGAAAACAATTCACTTCCTAGAGTAATATAGAGAGTTAGAGAGCCTCTTTGAGAGAGAAGTGAGATAGCTTGAGAGTCCTAGTCCTTAAGCTTGTGAGCCACCGAAATGAGACAGTTTTGTAAAATATAAATTCTTGTAATCCTACTATTCTTTTGTGTAGTGGAAGAACCTCCATATTGAAGGACTATAAACTCTTGTGCTCCCATTACTATCTTAATTTATAAGTGTCTATCTTAACTTCACGAGGCGGGAAAGACAGAGTTTTCCCAACATAGGTTTCATTCTGCCAGGCTAAGTTTAGAAAATTATTTTCTATTTGATCAAGAGATCTGCAATTTTCTCTCTGGACCCCAAAATTAGAACTTCAAGCCGTGTAAATTCAAACGCATAAGAGACAAAGCATTGTTCAAAATACCACAAGTCTAAATTCAAGCTGGAAGCCTGGAAGTATCAAATAAGTCTTTGGCACTGACCCAAAACTCCATGCTAATGTTCATATTTAAGAGAGACCCAGATCTGGACAGTGGCCAATAATCAATTGATTCGTTGTATAGAAGCATGAGAAAGGGAAATGTGCATTGTACCTAAAAATATTATAGTTCACACCCCTAAACAAAACTATCTTTAAATAAACAAGGTTAAGTATTAGAAGTTAGAACGTGAAAGATCATTGGGTAATTTAGAATACTATGTTGTATCATGTCCACATCTATATATCATCATTCCAACAATATCATATATCCCATATGCCAACATAAACGAGCCAATGGAACTTTGTCCCATAGTTTTTTTTTTTTTTTAATTCCCCAAAGTCAAGTCATCTCCATCACAGCAACAGCTAGCATCCTCTAACAGACAAATCCTGCACTAACCCAGCAATATCAATTGAGGCTAAAAGTCAAACAGAAAATAAGAATATAAACTCATCAAAAATACACAGGAAACTTCTTTTCTTCTTCCTTCCTGTCTCTCTCATTTTTAATCTCTTAAAATCATTTTAATTATGACATAAGTTCGAAATTGCATTGTTTTCTTGCACTGCTGTAGCCTTTTTGAACTTACTATCCCTCGTTTTTTTTTAAATTTGTAGAGATAGACCCCCCCAAGGTGGTAAAAAGTTCGAAACTTCCACTCTGAAGATCTATTTGCAAAAATAAAACTAGAGAGGTTGTAAATTCAAGACAACAATACTACAAGGTGTAATACCCGCATTTCTTTTTATGACACGAAACCTGAGCTTTTTGTACATAAGATACTTTCTTTTTGAAAACTTACATTATTTGCTACAAGGGGTATATCCACAATTAACCCTATAATTTAATATGCAAGAATAATCTTGCAAGTTGAGCATTTTTTTCTAAGTGACGAAACTTAGACTATTTTTTACATAATACTTTCTTTGAAAACCTACATTATTTGTTAATTATTTTAAGAACATTTTTTTCAAAACAGCCGCGTTTCAATTTTTTTTAAATTGACCGATTTTTTTTATTTACCAAAACCGACCCGTTTTGTGCCACGTCAGCTTAATCACTTTCCTAAACAGTCGGGGTTACTAACCCCGACTATTTAGGAGGGTGTTAAACCCCAATTAGAAACCTTAAACCCTAAAAATTTATGTCCTAAACAATCGGGGTTGGCAACCCCGACTGTTTAGGAAAGTGATTAAGTTGACGTGACAAAAAACGGGTCGGTTTTGGTAAATAAAAAAACGGTCGATTTAAAAAAAATAAAATAAAACGGTGTTGTTTTGAAAAAATTGTTCTTATTTTAAAGCGCGTTTTATTGCACCAAAATTTCAGAATTATGATAAACTCCGGGAGTATAATTCTATATAGTCTAGTTCTCTACTGTCATCAAGTCAACCATCCCCTCCCCTTCGTTCAACAACGCGAGGAAATGACCCAACAACATCCCATCTCAAAAAACACCTACAATAAAAACACAGCCTAAGTTTTGTTTCTTCCAAAAACAAAACCAAACGCAGTGAGACACATTGCAAACATGCACTCTGCAAACCACTGGGGTGGATCCTTCGAAATCCACGCCGACGCCACCACCGACGATGAGCACAGCCACAATCTCGACGTCGACAGAGCAGCGCTCTCCCGCCAGCACACGCTCGATGAGACACAGCAGAGCTGGCTGCTGGGGCCTCAGGACACAGGCAAGAAGGACAAGTATGTTGATCTTGGATGCATCATTGTGAAGAGGAAAGTTCTGTGGTGGGCATTTTGGACTGCGTTGGTTGCTTTCATTGTTATCGGGATCCCTGTGATTGTTGTTAAGACTTTGCCGAAGCATAAGGAGAAGCCGCCGCCACCTGACGAGTACTCGAAAGCTCTGCATAAGGCTTTGATGTTCTTCAATGCTCAGAGATGTAAGCTTCTCTTGGGGTTTGGTTGCTTTTTCCCCTGAATTTTGGGTAATATAAGGAAAGAGTTAGAGGGGAAAAAAAATTGCCCAGATGATCAATTTTGGTATCGAATCGCTTCTCAAAGTTTTTCCAGTATGACAGGTCCTAGCAGGGTAACTTGATTTTCGGGTTTTTGCTGAGAGATTTATATATCTCAAATTTTCTTAGGCCATAATATCAGAAAGAAAAATTCCATATAAATACATCATTTACTCCTTCAGTATTCAGATATGTAAGTTTTTAGTTTCATCTTTTACGCATTATTCATTTAAGTTATTTGAAATATTGTACAATTAAATCTAATTTTTACCTAAACCAAAACTGTAATATCCGTATTCATTCATACATACTTATACTACATACATACAAATTGACAATCCAGTTTCAAATTTTTCGATCAGCTGGTCGCTTACCAAAAAACAATGGAGTTCGATGGCGAGGAAATTCTGCGCTTAATGATGGCTCAGATCTACCAGATGTCAAAGGTGGTTTAGTTGGAGGATACTCAGTTGGTGTTGTTAGTCGCTGCTTGGCTAATCTGGGGAAGGAACACTGGGCTGCAGTTAAATGGATCCTCCGGTATCTACGCGGTACTTCCAAGAAGTGTTTATGCTTTTGAAATGGAAAACATGTGCTAGAGGGATACACAGATACAAATTTGGCGGTGACATTGATTGTAGGAAATCAACGTCAGATACCTCACTACTTTTGTAGAGGGAGCTGTTTCCTGGCAATCAAAGTTATAAAAGTGCATTTCATTGTTCACTACTGAGGCAGAGTACATCGCAGCTACTGAAGCTTTCAAGGAGATGTTGTGGATGAAAAATTTGTTGCTTGAGTTGGGAGTAGATCAAGACAGGTATGTCTTGAAGTGTGACAACCAAAGTGTAATTTACTTAGTAAAGAATTCAACTTTTTATTCCCGCACAAAGCACATTGATACACGTATCACTAGATCCGAGGAGCTCTCGAGGAAAAGCGCATACATCTTGACGAGGTTCACACAAATAAAAACTGGTCAGACTTGATGACCAAGGTAATACAATCCAATAAGTTTGAAGATTGTTGTCAAGGTGCTGGTTTGCTACTACCTACCAATTTAGTCGGGAGGGGGAGATTTGTTGGGATCCCTCCTTAATTGGGAAGATTCTAGAAAATTCTAGAACTTTCTGGAGAACTCTAGAGAAGTGTAGAATTCTCTAGAAACGTGTGTAATCCTCTAGAATATTCTAAAGATGTGTGGAGCCTTCTGGAACATTCTGAAAGAGAATGTAATAGAATGGAGGAGTGTAGAGATTCCTTAGAATTCTCTAGAAAGTAAAGATATGTGTGGAGAATTCTAGAGTGCTAATCTCCACCCTTGAATCAAATTAATCCACACCACTCATTATGAAGGTGGAGTAGTATAAATAGGGGTGGAAGCCTTCATTCCTATCCATCCAAGACAAGAAAACAATTCACTTCCTAGAGTAATATAGAGAGTTAGAGAGCCTCTTTGAGAGAGAAGTGAGATAGCTTGAGAGTCCTAGTCCTTAAGCTTGAGTGAGCCACCAAAGTGAGATAGTTTTGTAAAAAAATAAATTCTTGTAATCCTACTATTCTTTTGTATAGTGGAAGAACCTCCATATTGGAGCACCATAAACTCTTGTGCTCCCATTACTATCTTAATTTATAAGTGTCTATCTTAACTTCACGAGGCGGGAAAGACAGAGTTTTCCCAACATAGGTTTCATTCTGCCAGGCTAAGTTTAGAAAATTATTTTCTATTTGATCAAGAGATCTGCAATTTTCTCTCTGGACCCCAAAATTAGAACTTCAAGCCGTGTAAATTCAAACGCATAAGAGACAAAGCATTGTTCAAAATACCACAAGTCTAAATTCAAGCTGGAAGCCTGGAAGTATCAAATAAGTCTTTGGCACTGACCCAAAACTCCATGCTAATGTTCATATTTAAGAGAGACCCAGATCTGGACAGTGGCCAATAATCAATTGATTCGTTGTATAGAAGCATGAGAAAGGGAAATGTGCATTGTACCTAAAAATATTATAGTTCACACCCCTAAACAAAACTATCTTTAAATAAACAAGGTTAAGTATTAGAAGTTAGAACGTGAAAGATCATTGGGTAATTTAGAATACTATGTTGTATCATGTCCACATCTATATATCATCATTCCAACAATATCATATATCCCATATGCCAACATAAACGAGCCAATGGAACTTTGTCCCATAGTTTTTTTTTTTTTTTAATTCCCCAAAGTCAAGTCATCTCCATCACAGCAACAGCTAGCATCCTCTAACAGACAAATCCTGCACTAACCCAGCAATATCAATTGAGGCTAAAAGTCAAACAGAAAATAAGAATATAAACTCATCAAAAATACACAGGAAACTTCTTTTCTTCTTCCTTCCTGTCTCTCTCATTTTTAATCTCTTAAAATCATTTTAATTATGACATAAGTTCGAAATTGCATTGTTTTCTTGCACTGCTGTAGCCTTTTTGAACTTACTATCCCTCGTTTTTTTTTAAATTTGTAGAGATAGACCCCCCCAAGGTGGTAAAAAGTTCGAAACTTCCACTCTGAAGATCTATTTGCAAAAATAAAACTAGAGAGGTTGTAAATTCAAGACAACAATACTACAAGGTGTAATACCCGCATTTCTTTTTATGACACGAAACCTGAGCTTTTTGTACATAAGATACTTTCTTTTTGAAAACTTACATTATTTGCTACAAGGGGTATATCCACAATTAACCCTATAATTTAATATGCAAGAATAATCTTGCAAGTTGAGCATTTTTTTCTAAGTGACGAAACTTAGACTATTTTTTACATAATACTTTCTTTGAAAACCTACATTATTTGTTAATTATTTTAAGAACATTTTTTTCAAAACAGCCGCGTTTCAATTTTTTTTAAATTGACCGATTTTTTTTATTTACCAAAACCGACCCGTTTTGTGCCACGTCAGCTTAATCACTTTCCTAAACAGTCGGGGTTACTAACCCCGACTATTTAGGAGGGTGTTAAACCCCAATTAGAAACCTTAAACCCTAAAAATTTATGTCCTAAACAATCGGGGTTGGCAACCCCGACTGTTTAGGAAAGTGATTAAGTTGACGTGACAAAAAACGGGTCGGTTTTGGTAAATAAAAAAACGGTCGATTTAAAAAAAATAAAATAAAACGGTGTTGTTTTGAAAAAATTGTTCTTATTTTAAAGCGCGTTTTATTGCACCAAAATTTCAGAATTATGATAAACTCCGGGAGTATAATTCTATATAGTCTAGTTCTCTACTGTCATCAAGTCAACCATCCCCTCCCCTTCGTTCAACAACGCGAGGAAATGACCCAACAACATCCCATCTCAAAAAACACCTACAATAAAAACACAGCCTAAGTTTTGTTTCTTCCAAAAACAAAACCAAACGCAGTGAGACACATTGCAAACATGCACTCTGCAAACCACTGGGGTGGATCCTTCGAAATCCACGCCGACGCCACCACCGACGATGAGCACAGCCACAATCTCGACGTCGACAGAGCAGCGCTCTCCCGCCAGCACACGCTCGATGAGACACAGCAGAGCTGGCTGCTGGGGCCTCAGGACACAGGCAAGAAGGACAAGTATGTTGATCTTGGATGCATCATTGTGAAGAGGAAAGTTCTGTGGTGGGCATTTTGGACTGCGTTGGTTGCTTTCATTGTTATCGGGATCCCTGTGATTGTTGTTAAGACTTTGCCGAAGCATAAGGAGAAGCCGCCGCCACCTGACGAGTACTCGAAAGCTCTGCATAAGGCTTTGATGTTCTTCAATGCTCAGAGATGTAAGCTTCTCTTGGGGTTTGGTTGCTTTTTCCCCTGAATTTTGGGTAATATAAGGAAAGAGTTAGAGGGGAAAAAAAATTGCCCAGATGATCAATTTTGGTATCGAATCGCTTCTCAAAGTTTTTCCAGTATGACAGGTCCTAGCAGGGTAACTTGATTTTCGGGTTTTTGCTGAGAGATTTATATATCTCAAATTTTCTTAGGCCATAATATCAGAAAGAAAAATTCCATATAAATACATCATTTACTCCTTCAGTATTCAGATATGTAAGTTTTTAGTTTCATCTTTTACGCATTATTCATTTAAGTTATTTGAAATATTGTACAATTAAATCTAATTTTTACCTAAACCAAAACTGTAATATCCGTATTCATTCATACATACTTATACTACATACATACAAATTGACAATCCAGTTTCAAATTTTTCGATCAGCTGGTCGCTTACCAAAAAACAATGGAGTTCGATGGCGAGGAAATTCTGCGCTTAATGATGGCTCAGATCTACCAGATGTCAAAGGTGGTTTAGTTGGAGGATACTATGATGCCGGTGACAATATAAAGTTCCATTTTCCTATGGCTTTCTCTATGTCAATGTTGAGCTGGTCTGTGATCGAATACAGTCAGAGATATAAAGAAATGGGAGAATATGAACATGTTCGAGGTATCATCAAATGGGGTACTGATTATTTGCTCAAGACTTTCAATGCTTCTGCTACCATCGCTGACCAAGTCTACAGTCAGGTGAAGAATCTAACAAAAATGCAATGTTTGTTTAATTCATCAGGTTTTCTTATAATATAATTGTAAAATTTGTATGTTTACTGTCGCAGGTTTGAAGTAAATGCATTTTACCTTCATTAGTATTTAAACTAAAGAAATTGTCCTGAAAAAAGATTCACAGATAATTGTTGCTGAAAATTTGTACAAAACATACTTGACGCTTAAGGGATTCAGAACCTGAATCCCTGATGATGCATTGTAATACTCGCATCAATTTTTACTCATTAGTCCTGTGCTTAGTACAGGTATATCTCTATATCGGTCAATATATCAGAACGCACTCTGAGCAACTGTAATGCAAAACTTAGGGACGGAAAACATTTTCAGATTGAGCTAAATTTTTTTATACTGCATCTATATATGATATAATCATACAATTTGTATTGTGATTATAAGCAACTGTAACTATCAAACACTCTTGTTCCCTTCAAATGTATTGTGCAATCTTTTACTTAATCATAACTGCCCTGGTTTAGGAAAAAACATAAGCAAGCGACTGTTAAAGAATAACCTGTATCCTTGTCGATGCATTGTAGTATTCTTGTTCCATCGATATTTTTTTGTTTCAGGTTCTGTCAATATTCGATACTAATTAAGTACGGGTAGTAAAACCATACATCTGCGTATCAGTCGGCATATAACATATTATTCGCAGGTAGAACCCCTGTACCGTCACTCAATTTTGGATAAACTCCTTGTAGACTTGTTGTTCTGTTGTTGCATACAGACCTGTGAGTGAAATCTTTTTTACTCTTATTACCCTCAGGCAAAGAGAAATTTGTTTTCTTTTAAGGAGTCGAAAAAATTCAACTCAGGGACCTATATCCAACAATATAACTATAGGCGTCTATCCACAATTGGATGATTGCACAGAAGGTCTATCGGCAGTTAACCCTATAACATAAAACCCTACTTGTGAATAAAGAAAACAAAAAAGATTTCGTTTCCGAAATGACATAAGAGTTCAATTTTTGATCCTGATCAGGTCGGTGTGGGAAGAAACGGCACAACCACCCCAGACGACCATTACTGCTGGATGCGCCCTGAGGACATGGACTACCCTCGCCCCATCCTGAAATCATCCAGCGCCCCTGACCTCGGAGGCGAAATGGCCGCTGCCCTCGCCGCCGCCTCCATCGTTTTCCGCGACGACGCCAAATACTCCAAAAAACTCGTAACAGGCGCCACCGCAATCTACAACTTCGCCCGTGCTTCAGGCAGGCGAACGCCCTACTCTCGCGGAGTTCCAGAAATAGCGCAGTATTACAACTCGTCAGGATATTGGGACGAGTACATGTGGAGCGCAGGGTGGATGTATTATGCGACGGGGAATAAGACTTATATTTCCTTCGCGACGGATCCGAGATTGCCGAGGAACGCGAAGGCGTATGTTCGAGTGTCGGATTTCAGTGTGCTCAGCTGGGATAATAAGTTGCCGGCCGCTCAATTGCTGTGGACTAGGTTGAGAGTTTTCTTGAATCCTGGGTATCCTTATGAGGAGTCATTGAGGGAGTATCATAATATTACCGGGTTGAATATGTGCTCTTATATGAAGCAGTATAGTGTCTTCAACTTCACTCGAGGTAAGTGTATCAGAGATGATTCTTTAACACTGGATTAGTTGGACATAGACCTGATCTAGTGTCGCGTTGTGCCACTTGTTATCCATTAAGTTTGATATTGGCAGATACGAAAACAGGCATTCCCTATACGAGTACAAGAGAGAATTTCACTCGGCCGTGTTTTTGCCAATATCGAACTTCGAAGAGTAATAAGTTCCACGACGGGATAATGCAGGGGTTTATGTGCAACTAACCTTGCAACACTCGTCGTCGTCGGTATTGCATTATGCTGAGTATGTACTCCTTCGCTGCAGGAGGACTAATTCAACTGAATCACGGTCGGCCCCAACCGTTACAGTACGTCGTAAACGCAGCCTTCCTCGCTAATCTCTTTGCCGACTACATGGATGCAACCGACGTTCCCGGATGGTACTGTGGCAGCAGCTACTTCCCCTCCGAAACTCTCCGAACCTTCGCCTCCTCTCAGGTAAAACTCCACACAATTTCCCGAAAAATTTCTTGAGTACGAATCCTACGGAAGTGATTCTGATAGGATTTGCATTCTCAACCCCATTTCTAATAGTCACTCTCCTTCCTCTTGGAAAAAAAAAACAGTTGGACTACATTCTCGGAAAAAATCCTCGGAAAATGAGTTACATAGTAGGATACGGTAAAAAGTACCCGAAACACGTGCACCACCGCGGTGCATCAATCCCTCACAACGGCGTGAAGTACTCCTGCACAGGCGGAATGAAGTGGAGAGATACTCGGTCGCCGAACCCTAACACGATTGTCGGAGCCATGGTTGGCGGGCCCGATAGGTCTGACGGATTTTCAGACGTTCGGACGAATTATAACTACACAGAGCCGACATTGGCAGGGAATGCTGGGCTCGTTGCCGCGCTTGTGTCCATGACGAGCAGCGTGCGGAGAGGGCATCGATAAGAATAACAGATGTTTTGCGGCGGTTCCCCCAATGTTATCCGGCGGAATCCCCCGCCGCCATGGCAACCGTGAGAAAGTTGTGGCATTGAGTGCAAAAGGATTGTTTTCTTATGTAAAACAGTTCAACAGACAGATGAGCTTTGTTAATCTTTGCGGGTATGAATACGTAATTGATATGAACATAAAGCCGCCTGTGTACAAACAAACCTATGTAATGAGATGAATATATATATATATATATATATCGAATTTGGATTGGAACAAGTTACCCTAAGGGCACTTCATTTTTCAAAAATGATTTTCCTTTACTTTTTTGTGTTTCCTTCATTTTCATGGAAAGTGTTTCGTGTGTTTATTTCGCCAATAAATATAAGGTGAAAGTACTCCACCATTTTTCTTAGTTTAGTTCAACTTGAGAAAAGAAGAAAACAATTGATGTGTAAATAGATTCCCTCATTTTCTAGTGTTTGGTTCAAATAAAAAAAAGAAGAAACCATGACTATGGTCATCATGGTGTGCTTACCACCATTATGGGAAAGCGAGAGCCTGTGTTTGGTGACATGGCAACTCAATTTTTCTCCACTTTCCTCTTTCTATTTAGCAGTCCAAACATCAAAAACTAAAGGAAAATGGTATTTTTTGTACTTTTTCATAATGTCAGTTTTCCATGGTGTATTTTCTGCATTTTTGGGACCAACCAAACAGCCCCTAAAAAAATTTGTGCATAGATTTTATTAATTCAAGTGCCACTTAATCAAATCCTTCGCGCCAATGAGATTCTAATATCGTTAACTATGCGTTTAAACATTTCCACTGTCAAATTCTACTTATTGAGTAAAAACCCATTTCCTTCCTACTGAAGAAACCGCGAGAAATTTGGTGAAGAACGGGTTTTGGAAGCACAGGGGAACTGTTTGGAAGCTGCGCGGTCGACCGCGGCACAAGGCCGGTCGACCGCGAACGTGCATAGGCTCTGGGAGGAGTCTGGATTTGGCGCAGTCGACCGCCACGTTTGACCGCCAGACCCTGTAAGTGATTTTAGGCTCTGTCGCTGATCGCGGTCGACCGTGACGGTCGACCGCGTAGCGGGTCAGGTCCAAAATCAGTTTCATGTTCTTATTTGGTTTTGGTGTTTGTATAAATACCAATACACGTTCTAGGGTTTCTTAAGGTAAGAGTATGAGATATTTGGAGCACAGAAAAGAGGTATTTTCTGAGCTATTTGATTAGGGTTTATTTGGAGAGATTAAGAGCTTTGTTGCTGAGATTAGTTTATTCCTTCGAGTGATTTGTAATCTCAAGTTGTGCTCTTCTTCTCTATTAGTGAAAACCTCATCCCCTTCCTGCCCCGTGGATGTAGGCAATTGTCGAACCACGTTAAAATTGATGTTTTGTTTGTGCATTGATTTTGGTTGGTTTTGGCCCTCGTTGATCGGCAATTGGTTTGGTTTCTCGACACGGTTTTTAACAACAATTAGGATATTTTGCCCAACAATTGGTATCAGAGATCTGGCTACGCTTGGGTTATTTGGAGGAGTAGATCGGTTTGGGAAGCTCGTCTAGGGTTTCAGTTGGTGAAAAAGGTGGATCTTTTTGGTAAAGCTTCTTTCTTTTCTCAGATTTGGATCTATTCTTCGTTTGTTTCCGCATTGATTGTTGGTGTGTTGAGGATTATGGCCGAGAAAGAGGGAGTTAAGGGTGGTTCTTCAGGTGTGAAGACTGTCCAAAGTTTGAGTATCCACTCGATGAAGATTGACATGGAGAAGTTCAATGGCACTAACAATTTTGGACTTTGGTGATGCGAAGTCTTGGATGTGCTTAATGCGCAGAATTTAGAAGATACGTTGGAGTTCGACGGGAAACCGGACGACATTGATGAGAAGGTTTGGAAAAAGATGAATCGAACAGCGTGTGGTGTGATTAGGTCTTGTCTCACTCAAGATCTAAAATATGATGTGATGAATCAGACTTCAGCTAAGAAGATTTGGGAAGTCCTACAAAGCAAGTACTTGACGAAGAAACCACTTACATTTGAAGAGGAGGCTTTATCGCTTCCAATTGAAGAAGGGGACATCTATTAGTGATCACATGAACCACTACACGAAGCTTCTTGCAGATTTGGTAAATGTAGATGTCATTGTTGAAGATGAGGACAAGGCGTTGCTATTGTTGAGTTCCTTGCTCGACGATGAATATGAGATGTTTGTCCTTACTCTTATTAATGGGAAGGCATCTCTTTCATATAGTGAGGTCACCGCTGTATTAGTGAATTACCAACTTAGGAAGAAGGACAATGAGACTTCTATTGAGCCGGTAGCGGGGGCATTGGTTGCAAGAGCAAAGGGTCCAAACTAAGGTAGAAGGTCACAGTCTAGAGGGGCACATCTTGAAATTCGTAGGAATCAGTGTGCTTTTTGTAAAGAAGATGGACATTGGAAAGCTGAATACCCAAAGTTGAATGATCAAGCCGGGAAGAATAAGGGGAAAGCTATTCGGGCTTCAGAGGTAAATGTTGTCAAGGCTAGTGGCAACGATTCAGATTCGGATTCTTCGGGCTACTCATTATCTGCACTGTCGTCAGTTTGTGTTACCTACTCTACAGAGTGGATGTTGGACTCGGGTGCTACATACCACATTTGCCCTAGGAGGGATTGGTTCTCCAGCTTTTAGGAGTTAGAAAGAGGGGATTTAGTGCTCATGGGTAATGATCATGAATACCCTATTGGTGGTATTGGCACTGTTCGGATCAGGATGAGTGACGGAGTGATTCGGGAGTTAGTTGGAGTGAGGTTCATTCCTCAGTTGAAGAAGAACATCATTTCACTTAGAGCTTTGGAGGTAGCATGCTATAGAGTGACCTTGGTGGATGCACGTTTGAAGGTTACATTTGGGTCCATGATTGTGATGAAGGGCGTCAGAAGGAGTAACTTATACTATTTGCTTGGGAGCATGGTGATTGATAGATCTCTGACGACTTCATTGGATTTGGCTAGATTGTGGCGTAGTTTGGTGCTGGGGTATTTGATTGGTGATGCCGTGAATAGGTTGTTGAGGAGTGCTTTGACCTGCAGATGGAAGTCCTTTGAGCACATTGGGATGAGCAAGACCATGGTAGAGTTTAGCACTTCTATCCATCGAGCGAGGAGTCTTTTAGGAGGTGTTCAGTCAGGCATTTGGGGGCCTTCCAAGGAGGCATCATTGGGAGGTAATCGTTTTGTAGTTTCCACAGTTGGTGATTGTTCTAGGTATTATTGGGTCGTGACCAGTTCCCGTTGGTGTAAAGTCCTAGAAGTCAATAACAATTAGAAGAAGTGTATTGACAGAAAGGTAACTCGTTGTTCTAGCTTTGGTAGGGGTCATTTCTTACGTTTGTGCCGAGCTCATGGCAACTTGAAACACTTCATTGATGTGGAGACTTTGGGGCGACGAGATGAGATGACAGTTTCGATGGGTCGTTCCTTTCTGGAGGAGGATCGACGTTGGTTGTCGAGCATTGGTTCTGGTTCTGGAGTTTCAACATATTTGGGTCATCTTAGTCATAGGTCGCCGACTACTGTATTAGGAGTTATTGGATATGGTGGAGATGCTTCAGATTTTGGTTGGCGTCGAATATTTGGTTACCCAATATTTGGTCACATCGAGGATGTGAGATTTGATCCGATTGCACGTTTGGGATTTGGAGGCTCATTTGATTATCATTTGGGAGATTCTGATTTTGTTCTGAGCATGTCACTTTTGACTCTCAGCAGGTGGAGAGTGTTGATCAGATCATTTGGATATCGCAGCAGGTGAAGGGTGATGCTACTTCACGTTGGGTGAAACTTATTCCACATACTCCAGATCATACTACGTCATTTGGGATTCCAGCTGAGGTGGCACAGGTTGGGGATTATTTGATTTCGGATGCAGATGATGGATTGGCTTTGGATTCGGTTGCAGCTGGTGGACATGTTTTGGATACGGCTATTGGTTCACCTCAGATGGAGGTGCTTGATTTGTATCAGTTTGAGGCCGTTATCAGTTGCATATCCATTGGCGATATTAAGAAAGAGTTGTCAACTTTTCTATTTGATTGAGGGCCTTTGGAGGCCGTTTGGGTGAACTACGTGAATGCTTGATTCCTTGGGCAAGAGGATACGTAGGCAGTTTTTATGATGCAGCCAATTTGGTGAGTAGATACCGACATTTGGGTGAGTGTTCGCACTCCCGTTTGGGTCTCGACTTATTGAGGATTGAGAAGCAGCAAGTGAGGTATTTGATTTGGTTGGTGTCGGCTCAGTTTTGGTAGAAACTTCGCCGAGGTAGAGAATTGAAGAAACCACGAGAAATTTGGTAAAGAACAGGTTTTGAAAGTGCAGGGGAACTATTTGGAAGCTGCGCGGTCGACCACGAACGTGCACAGGCTCTGGGAGGATTCTGGGTTTGGTGCGGTCGACCGCCACGGTCGATCGCCAGACCCTGTAAGTGATTTTAGGCTCTCTCGTTGGTCGCGATCGACCGTGACGGTCGACCGCGTAGCGGGTCAGGCCGAAAATCAGTTTCCTATTCTTATTTGGTTTTGGTGTTTGTATAAATACCAATACACGTTCTAGGATTTCTTAAGGCAAGAGTTTGGGATATTTGGAGCACAGAAAAGAGGTATTTTCTGAGCTATTTGATTAGGGTTTATTTGGAGAATTAAGAGCTTTGTTGGTGAGATTAGTTTGTTCCTTCGAGTGATTTGTAATCTCAAGTTGTACTCTTTTTCTCTATTAGTGAAAACCTCATCCCCTTCTTGCCCCGTGGACGTAGGCAATTGCCGAACCACGTTAAAATTAGTGTTTTATTTGTGCATTGATTTTGGTTGGTTTTGGCCCTCATTGATCGGCAATTGGTTTGGTTTCTCGACACGGTTTTCAACAACAATTGGGGTATTTTGCCCAACACCTACAATACCCATTTCCTTCCTATAGTATACTCTTTGAGTTCGTGCATTATATTATATTCAAATTATATTATAGGGTAGATTAC